GCTCTCACATGTACATGACAAAATTAAGTTTTAATTGATTAGTTGGGTGTAAGCACTACAGCATGTGTGAATTGCCTGTGTTTATTGGCACAACCACATAATGCTGTAATAGTTTTCAAAGCTGCAGCTAACACCCAGCCAGCTAGGACTGAGACTTGTTCCTGAGAAGTGTTCTTCCTCCTTCTTCCACATTGTTTTCAGTTCTCTGAAAAAGAAATACTTGCTGAACAGCACTTAAATTTTTGAGGCCTAATTAGTCTACCTATTTCTTGTGATTTATCCAGTCAGAGATCAGAAATGCATCAGCTCAGCAGTATTTTCAATCAAACCTATCCCATTTTAATATCCACTGTATCACCACAACTATTCTTACCAAAAAGCTCCGGGCTAGGAGAAACTTAACAGGAATCAGTCAATTGACTAGAGAATACATGTGGGAAATTTGCAACCTCTCTAGACCAAGTGTTTCCAAGCTTTTGGGAACTAGAATAACTTTCAATTAAACTCACTAAAATAAGCAACTAGAGCTGGTTGCTCCAGGCTGTGTCCAGTCAGGTTTTGAATATCTCCAAGGATGGAGATTCCCCACCCTCTCTGGGCAGCCCATTCCAGTCTTCAATCAACCCCACAGTAAAAAAGTTTTTTCTTATTTTTAAATGGAATTTCCTGAATTTCAGTTTGTGCCCATTGTCTCTGGAAGCCACAGAAAAGAGTCTGGCTTCAGCATCTTTGTCCACCTGGCAATCAGGTGCATATTGTTAAGAAGCCCCTGGAGCCTGGTCTCCTCCAGGCTGAACAGTCCTGGCCCTTTCAGCCTCTCCTCACATGTCAGATGCTCCAAACCTTTAATTGTTGTTGTAGCCCTTTGCTGCACTCTCTCCAGTAAGTCCACATCTCTCTTGTACTGGGGAGCCCAGCACCGGATCCAGCACTCCAGGTGTGTCTCACCAGGGCGGAGCAGAGGGGAAGGACCATCTCCCTCCACCTGCAGGAGATTCTCTGCCTCAGGCAGCCCAGGAGGCTGTCGGCCTTTGCTGCAAGGGCTCATCAACTTGGTGTCCACTGGGACCCTGAGGGCCTCTTCTGCAAAGCTGCTTCCCAGCAGGTTGGCCCCAGCCTGCCCTGGTGCCTGGGGCTGTTCCTCCCCAGGGACAGGACTCGGCATTTCCATTTGCTGAACTTCTTGAGGCTCCTCTCAGCCCATGTCCCCAGCCTGCTGAGGTCCCTCTGGACGGCAGCACCACCCTCTGGCCTGTCAGCCACTGCTCCCAGCTGTGTATCATCTGCAGACTTGCTGAGCACATGCTCCGTCCCAGCGTCCAGGTCTTTAATGAAGGTGTTGGACAGCATCAGCCCCAAGGGGAAGCATTTACTCACATTGCTATGGAGGTGATGGAAAACAACAGGCTTAGCCCCCCCAACAGATTTCTGAAAAAGTCTGTCACAGACACTGCTGCTGGCCAATGCACATGTGACAATAAACATTAACTCACATTTCTTTTGTTGCTTAATTTTCTTGAAAGGTAGTTTTATGCAGATAGGCGGAATGATGCTGCTAGCCTGCAGGTCCCCGTTTCCCAGTGAAATTCTTGCTTCAGTAACCCCCAGCAGCCAGCATGACAACGAGACCCTTTTTATGCAAATACATTCAGTAGCATTTCTACCAGTCCCTGCACGAGTCGTGATTTGCCTTTTGAATTTTGGTAAAGCCATGAACAGCAAACCTGGGAGCAGGAAAAGACCACCTCCCCTTTCTCCTCCCTTTGGAGGTGGGGAGCAGGGGGAGCCAGCGTGCTGCAGCTTGCTCGCCTGCGAGGTGGAAGGGAAATGAAACGCAAATGAAACGCAGGTGGAAAATATTTTGTCGCTGATTAAAGAAGAGGATGGTCCCTACACAAGTGGATTGCTGCCACCGCAGCACTTGCTTCGATCTCTCTAAGCTTGTGTGGAATTAATTAGGTAAAACCCTCAGCATTTACCTTGTGCTGTGGTATCACCTGGAGGAGACTTGGCATGAATTAGCGCTGGATTATCATAGGAGCTTGAGCTGTGAAATGATCTGCCTAGTGAGAGTCTGCCAAGTAACTCACAGGAGGTGGCAAACAAAGTGGCATTTTTGTAATTTTAATTAGGTTTGGGGGGAAAAAGAGGTTAGCTTGAATACAGCAAGAGGCAGAAGTATGACCTTACTGAACATCTCATGGACTTCCTCTTACACAGCTGGGGTATGGGGACACACTCTGAAAATTTGCTCGGATGTTTCCTCGCTACTTGGAGAATGTAAAAAGGGAGGGGCTGATTTTTTTTAATGCGATAACAGGAGATAAGATTGCAGTGGAAAAAGGCTTGGTTCAGGCATTAGGGAAAGGGTTGCCGTGACCTCTGAGCAGGGATGGATGCGCTGAGTGTCGTGGCTGGGAAAAATGCCACCAGGTGTCCCTGTAGCCTAAAAAATGCAGGGAGGCTGCTGGGCACCACCGCGGGCTGCCTCGCCTGCCTCTGCTCTTCGGCAAAGGGGAGCTTCAATGGGCAAAGAGAGGCATGCAAACCCCGAATTCAACCTACACGTGTAAAGCGTTCCTCCTCCTCCTCCCCAAATGCACAGGTTCGCGACCCCTGTCCGGATCGTGACTGGTTTCTCCCCAAGTGAGGGAGCCAGGTTCGGCCACGGAGTGACCTTTTCTTCTGTTTTGGGGGAAGGCTGTTGGTGCAGCTTCACGGACAGTGCTTTGCCTTACACACAACAGGTCTGTGCAAGGCCAAGTTCTGACTTGCTTGTCTCCGTGGTCAGCATCACTGCACTGGTGAAGGCAGCTGGGCATCTCAAAAGGCTCTAGAGGCAATCATCAATCCTGTCCTTCCATGTCCCCATAAAATAAAGAAGTTAAATCATTTACCAAAAGTTTCACTGGGAATAAGCGCATGGTCAGGCATAGGTTACATGGACTTAATTTACTTCTCCCTTATACTAGCCGTGGTGATTATAATTGCATGCAGAAGGATCAAAGTGTTTTCTGATTCCTGGGTCTCAGCCACAAGAATCACAGCAACATTTGCCACCCAAGACAGCACTGATTTATGCTGCCCGTCAATTAAAAAAAAAGGAAAAAAAAACAAAACTAATTTTCTGTGTGTAGCTCAGACCTCCTATCTGCATTTTAGGGCAATGCAAAGGGCAGCCAGTCTGGTTCCCTTCATTGCCCTGTGGGCAGTTTTATATTTCGCTGAGGAAGGGGGTGGTAAGCAAAGGAAGAGTGGCAAAAATTAGATCTGAGGCAGGTCAACTCTATCCACTTAACTGCTATTGACCCACTTGTAACCAGAGCTGAGCCCAGCCTGGGTATTGGAATTCCTCTGGCCACGTCTCTGACAATGTGCAGGCCAGAAAATATCTAAATCCCTGTAGCACAGTGAAGTCCCTGCAGCCTGAAAACCACCAGAGACACTGCTCATCTCATAGCTGCTTGGAGCTGAGCGTAAGAAGAAGGAGAAGCTGGGGTAAATGTACTGTGGGATTAAGAGGAAGAAGGTACTTTCTTCCCTCTTGCTGGGTAAAGTGTGGAAAGCCCCAGGGAATTACTGCTCCTTGTTTCAGTTGACGCACTAAAAAAACCCCAAAACTTTCTGAGAAAGGATCTTTACAATTATGAAAATCTTGTGCTTTAGTCCGATTCCCTAGTTCCTGAAAAGTTTCCTCCAACTTGCAGCTTGTTTCACACCATTTTAGGGCTGCAAAAGTAACAAAGTCTAATGGAGCATCAGGCCCGTACTTCTCTCCAGACTCCCAGGTACGCTTTCCTCATGCACATATATGAAAGGGAAACCAGATACCCCTAGCCTCAGTATGAGAAAATTGTGTTAATAACTTACAGTGTAACTGTTATACTCTAATGCAGTAGCCATACTAACAGAAAGTAAGCACCAACACACAACCCAAAAATGTGTCTATTAAAATAAAATAATAACAATAAAAGCACCTTGGCTTACATTACTGATAGGTTTGGCTGAAAACCTGAGCCTTGGACTGTATGAGCTGGCTCTGGCTCTGCTGGTCCACAGAAAGCCTCAATTCATTACTCGGGAAAAAAGGAGCGCATGCTGCCTCGAATCCCAGGGAGCAGTGCCGATGAATAAGAATGGACACGGGCTAATTCAAACCCTTCTCCAAGCTTTCAAATCAAGTTAGTGATTTCTCTCTTCTTTGTGGTTCCCAGCCAATTGTCATTTTCAGTGCATCCTATCGCCCTGCAGTACAAACTGTTCTGGGAATACACTCCATTCCTCCAGCAGCCTCTCAGCAATGCCAAGGAATGTAGCTCTTCTGGTTACAATTAAGAAATTCAACATACAAATACTCCCCAAGTGCACCAGAACCTGCTTTTGACCTTCACGCAATGGAATCTGAAGGAGTCGAAGCAATTTTTTGTTCTTTGATTCTAATGAAGAGTGGAGGGGACAGGAGGAGGTGGGGGGAAACCCCCATTCCTCCCGAGAGGCACGATGGTTTCAGGGGTCAGCTGCACAGAAACTGGCAGAGGGAAGCGCAGTTTCCAGGGCTGCGTTCCCACACGGAGCCCTGGGCTGCGGGGTCGCTGGGCAAGGCGGCCGGGTCCGGCTGCCTCTTGCTGCCTCAGCTCCATCCCCGAGGACTGTCTCTCTCTGAACTCTTTTGGGGCCTCTGCATAGATACTTTGAGAGAAAACTCCACCGCTGCCTTTTATCGTGCTAAATCTCTACCAGGATTGAGTCCAGGTGAGGCAGATTAAGAAGCTCTGACAGAATAGCTCTTAGTATCTATTCATAAATATAGTGCCTTTTAAAGCCAAAAAGCAAATACCTCTCAATTATGAGCATAAATGTATTAGATGATTTTGAGGTAGTGTCCTCCCCCACCTTGCTTCAGCCTCTGCATTTTCATCCATAAGCTGGCTTTAAAACTTTCTTTTCCCTAAAACTCAGGATGACACTGTTGCCTAAGATGAGAAATTTGTGTTTTCCAGATGGCTGGAGATGGTGAAAGAATAGCATGGAAAATGCTTGATGTGGAATCTCATTATCCTAAAGAACTTGGAGGATCCCTGGAGCTTTCCAACGACACCTTCTTTTCACTGAGGATCAAAAATGCAACCAGCCAAAACAGCGGGACATATAAGTGCGCTCTGGGGGAACAGAGTGGAGAACGCAATCTGAGCAGCACAGTCGCACTGAAAGTAACAGGTACAGTAGAGACTCTTGACTGTCCCATGCTCTGAGTGGCACTTCATGAAGGTAAGAGTTTAAAAATATTTTACAAACACCAGAACAATTAGACACCTTGCTTTACATTTTAGGTTGCCCTGGAATAGAAGATGAAAAACTAAAAAAATACAAAGCTGAGCTTTTCATGCTGACTTGCCTTGGGATTTTTTACTTGCTGCTCATCTTTTTTACCTGTGTAAGTAATTATCTTTCTCATAAACAAACCAACCAAACCCAACAGAAATGCCCACTCATTTTCTCTGCTAACACCACCTTAACACAGCAGGTCAGAAGCTGGTGTTCATACTTAACCTATGATCAAATCCTTTGAATACTTACACAGTATTTTCAAAGCCAGAGGGAAATTCGGGTGCACGAGGAACACAGGATAGAGTCCGAAAGAGATAAAACATTTCACTGCACCCTGATCTAACTCAAACCAGACAGTTATTTTCCTGTACCCTGCTGCCTGTTTCTGCTTCTACTTATGCTGAGGGCAGGCTACTCTTCAGTTTAAGGGCACATCAACAGCTTTTCTGGTTTGGTACTTGGGAGCAGCATTTGTTGAAATGGAGGCACAGGCCCCTGGGATTCCTTCCTCACCTATGGCATTGCTTTGTGTGGCAGTATGATGGGCAAGTTGAAGTCCACCTATTTTTTGCCTCCGTTTCCATACCTGTAAAGCAGTGACAACCCCATTTCAGATGGACATTTTTGTGAAGCTCCATCTTTCTTGGTAAACAGACATTTTCTGATCCTTGGAGAAGAACCTCCTTGGGGTTTTATCCATACCCTTAATGCTGGCAGGTACTTCTGAGAAAGGTGGGGAGTGGAGGTATTCAAGAAGCTCAGTTCACAGAAGCAAAACTATGTTTTGTCTGCAGTAGTGGTGAAGTCACCCCCTTGTGCAGAATAAACAGAAGGGCTGTGCCTGCTGGCTTAAAGCAGCATGAGACTTGGGTCTCAGTGCAGTGCGACACAGGCTGCATTTCAGATTTAAAAAAAAACCCAAAACCAACCCCAGCATTTTGGGAGCTCAAATTTAACTTCTGCTGCCTATTTTGTATTTGCCTTCTTGTTTTGCTCCTCAGCAGATGAATCATAACTGTTGATTGGAGAATATCTAATAAGCTGCAGCTAAATGTAGATTTTCATATATCTTCAGGGAGCAATTAAATTTATGCCTGTCTCTTTTTCAGATTGACAATCCTGCCAGTAATTTGTGCCATTCAGACTAAAGTTTGACAAGACAAATCTTGTAGGAGTTTGTTAGGATGAAAGTATGAAAGCAGGGATGCCTCTCAGAGGAGACAGATGCCCCTGTTCTGCTCAGTGTCCTGAAAGTATTTCAGATCTCTACAAAAACACTCTACTTCCCATACATAAAAAAAAAGTCCCAGTTATAGTGGGGCAGTTAAAAGCAGAGCCATGCAGTGAAGATAACCTCTCTGGTGGAATTACGTTTATCTTACTCTTGGGTGAGGTACAGTCTCAGGTATCAACCTAGCTTTCATCAAAATTTAATATTGCCCTATCTCACAAGTAAGCTTCATTATTTAAAATGCTTGTTAAGTTCTTACAGGTTGTCTTGTCCTCTCCTTTAGTGGAAATTGTGCCTTATCTCCACTCAACTCAACAGCAACATTAAGTTTAGGACTGGTTGGCAGGACTGGGACTTTACTTTGACAACTTGATGAAAATATTTCAGGCACTGGCCTTTATTGCAGGCAGGTGGAAACACACTTGCAAGAACTTGATGCAAAGCCTGTTCATATGAAAACTTAAATTAAATATAAAATTCCTTTCATGACTGAGGCTTTTGTCCTATAAACCTCCTAGATAGAGCAAGAAACAGCAGCTTTTCTTTGTACTGGGTGCTCCTGGTGACAAACAAATGGAAAAGATGTAATGAGCTATGGTTAGCAAGGAGAAAAAGCAAAACTTTCAAACTTTTTAAAAAAATTGCCTTTTATAGCAATTCTCAGTTTTAAGCTTTCCTTTCTGTTTTCCCTTGTAGACATGTCTAAGAAAAGAGAGTATGTCTCCCAATTATCAAAAAAACAGACCAGATATGAAACACATGCTCACCCTCCTCAATGTACATGAAATGACAACTTTCCAGGATTTAAACGGCAACAGCACTTGCAAAAATGAACTTACTTCAAGTTCTGTCTAAGCTGACGTTGATGGCACATGGGGCTCATCAGTAAACACAAAACGAGCTGGATGGCCGAGTGGTACGGAGAGGAAATAAATGCTAACGTATGGCCTCTTCAGAACAGCCGGAAAGTAACCTGCTTGCACTGGCCCAGCCTTAGAAAAGCACTGTTATGCACTACGGTAACTGTTGGGAGTTAGGCGGCTAAGAAATACCGTTACAGCTACACAACGGTGTCACGATGCTGTTATGAAGTTGATGTCAACTTTATTTCACTCTGCCAGGCAGACCTCTTGTTCTGAGCAAGAATGTTCCTGTGATATGAAGACCAGGTTATAACGAGGCCGTGGCAGCACAAAGTCGAGTAACTAAGCTACTCACTGAACTAATAGCGCTTGTCTTTCAAAAGCAAACACAAGAGGTGCTGCAGCATGAAAAGCTAAGTGTGCGGGGCTGTCTCTGCTCCGAGCCTGATTCTGGATGGTGTTCCTTTACTGCAAACGGGATGTAACTTGTCACGCGATGTTCAAGTCAGCTGAAGAGGTAACTTCATGCTCTTGTCCCGGGTGGATCAAATCAACATTCACTTTGAAATCTCAGAGTGACAGACAGGCTGAAAGGTAAGAAGGGAGAAAATATGCTGGAAGTCTTTCTGGATCGGGAGGAACTTTCTATCTCTGCAAGAGAAGCAGGGACACTTCTAGGCAGGTCAATCCATAGAAAGCTGCAATGAGATTATTCACCTTAAAGCAACAAAAATAAGAATGAAGCAGCCAGTGATATTAAGGACAAAAAAAGATGACTTATTTTATGGTTTATAAAACATGAAGCCAAATGTAGGCGACACCCATGTCAGTCAAGTTACACAAGTGATAAGCAAAGCCATGGCTTGGAAGAAATCAGCCGTCTGTGTATTTGGGATGTACTGAGTCAGCCATCAGATACAGGAACGGGAGATGAGACACATGAGAACCTGCTTTTGGTGTTGACATTGTATTGTATGGATGAATCAAGGACATGAGAAAAGCTGGTCTCGAACACATAATATAAGGGATACAAGACTTGGCCTCTTGGACCAAAGAAATCAAGAGACATTCTGGAGTCTGAAATCCAGGAGCCTCCCCTATCGACCTGCTGGTGCAGGAGGTGAAGCAAGAGGAGTCTAGAGTGACTGTGGGTGTTTATGCCACACCATGAGAATTTGAGCCAAAACATGTGAATTTGCAAGCACTCAAGAACGCAATCCTAAAAAAAGAAAAAATCGTTCAAGTTTTAAACTGCATTAGGATTTTTAATGCAGTATCACTCAGTATATACTGAGCATCACTCAGTAGTGCCTTGGTGAGCAGGGCAGATGTCTCCATTGGTAGAGTCCAAGGGGCTCCTGTCTGGCAGAATGGTTACAAGGGATATGCAATTTACTTAGAGCATGGTAAATTAATGCCACTTTTGCTTTCTTATAATCAATTTTTACATACAAATCTGTGTAACATACTTGAAATAAAAATTCAGAGGTAACCTACCATTTGTCTTTGTGCACCACATATGCCAAATAAACCCACAAATACTCCGTATCAATTGCATTTTATTTTACAACCAGCATAATTTCATCAAATAATGTAGATGCCTGATGCAGCCTCTTCTGTGGGAGAGGGCATGTATGTGTGTATAATTGATTAAGCAATGGATAATTTTATGCATTTCTAATGAACTAAGATCATTTAAGATCATCTTCCTCAAAATTTCACTTTGTGTCCAAAGTACATTGTAAAACACCTGACAGGCAAGTCACAAGGGAAAACACAGGGGTATTTCAGTGTACCCATGGTCACTTTTAAATCCACTGTCCCATCACGGGTGACCTCTACGTTTAGGTGGTAGTGATATGAACAGGATGTGCATGTGTAATAACTGACCAAGGGTACATCAGGTTTCTCCCTTTGGTCAGAAAGGCTTAATACCTGACAGTTATATGTTTGGAGATTTTTTCTTTTTTTAATTATTAATTTTTTTGTTTTAGGAGACAGGACAAGAGGATGGAAGGGAAAATTCAGTTGAAAGGAGCTGATGATTAATCAGCAGCAAAGGCTAAAACACTTTTTAAATTATTTCTTCGGATGTATAAATAGGATCATATAAGACAGGACATTTGTAAGATAGTATAAAAGCATATGCGTATGCTAGAACCATTCTTCGTAGTACTTTCTTATAACACGTTTTAGAAGCAGGAATTCAGTTAAACTCAATAAATCCATGAGGTGGGAAATGCCATAATCTTTGTTTTATAAATAAAAGCTGAGACACCTGGAAATCAAAAAGCTGCTGAAGAAGCCTGAATCAGAATTGGGAAGAGATCTGAGATTTCCTGACTCTCCTCTGGCTGGCTTAACCACAGGAGCTTCCCTGTTAATATTTCTTGTGGGTTCTGTAACTTTTTCATTGATTTTTTTCCCCTCTGTAACCTGCTTTTTTCTATTGTTTTGTCCGAAGGTGAACCATCTGCATTCAAAGATAACAATAAGGGTTATACATAAAACTACTCATACAGAGCAAGTTTGTATGCCTGTGATGAAGGAACATACACAGAAACACTGCACCACAAGGGGAAATTACCCCAAAGAGAAATTGCAAGTCATACACCAGAGCTAAATGAATATCCAAAATGGCAATGAGGAAAAGCTAAAGGACATAATCCACAAAATGCTGAGTGTATGATTTATAGCCCTTTGCTAAGCCTGATTTGCACGGCTAGCACTTACACAGCAGATAACCCAGGCTGACAGTGACCTTGAGAGCATTGCACCAGCGATAGTTTCTGTAAAGGCTGAATGGTTTTCAACCTATTTCTCCTGAGCAGGAGCTAAAAGCATGCTTGTATTCAACAACGTGGACCAAAGTAATCCTCGGTATGTGCCTGTGAACGACACAGACTATGGCTATTCTGCCTGTGCTGTGAGTGTTTTGGAGACCATAAAGCATTTCCCTGGTGCACGTGTTCCTTTTCTTCCCCCTCTCAGTGCGGAGCTGAGCAGCGATGCAGCGCTGAGGGGATCTGGTTCCAAGTCCATTGAGCAACTGAAAGTATTTTGTGACCTTTTCAAGCAATATGTCTGCCCCTTGGGAACTGCAATTGATTTTCCTCATCTCTGTACCCGAAGACAATGCTGTAACACTATGTTACAGCTACATAGTGGAAAATAAATTGGAAGTGCTTTCCCCATACCTCCTTTTTAAGTAAATATCAGCGAAATCCCTGGTTCTTAGTCCTTTGTGGAACAAACGGCCAGGGAGATTAAAGAGTTACAAATAAATGCAATACCAAATTTTTTGGTTGATGGTCTGTCTTCACTTCGCTGCCAAGACCTGCATTTGCAGTACTCTGCTTTTCCCTGACTACAGCTGATATTACTTCTGTGTAAAGCTGCGAGGAGAGGGCTATTAACTCTCGAGTGTTGACGTGAATCCTGAAAAATCCACCAAGGGAACGGGTGGTGGCAAGACCGACATGGGTTGCTGCAAGGAGTGGTGGGTTCTCTGAAGACTTCATCTTATGTCCAAGCCATACAAGTCTTCCCACCCTCTGATGGAAAAGCTCGCTATGTCCCTGTGGCTGAGTTACAAGTGCATCTGTTCTGCTGCAAATGGACAGCCTGGGCTGATCTTCAGCGTTTGCTCTGTTATGAGACAGACATCACAGGCAGAGTAAAAAACAAAACAAAACAAAACAAAACAAAACAAAACAAAACAAAACAAAACAAAACAAAACAAAAACACCCCATGAAGCAACCCGAGGGGGAGATTGAAGGCAAGGGGCAACAGCCATGAGAAGAGACAGGTCTTGGGGGAAATAGTGCTTGTGCAAGCCCAGCGCAAACATCGGCTGCGTTCTCTGCAGAGTCCTTCAGTTGCTTCTGTGAAAAGAGTGAAAACAGACCATTAGTGGTTGAGGGTTTTTGCTTGCTTGCTTTTAAAAACATATGCACTGCGTGCCTCAGTTTCCCTGTCTATAAATGGGAGCAAGTGAGTTCAAGTAGTGTCTTGAATGGGAGGTGGGGAAACTGGCAATATTGACTCCTTGTTGCCTACTTGGAGCTGAAAGGAACTTTGTACCCAAGTTGTCCCTCAGGGGAGAGAACAGGAGGCTTGAGCTGCTGGACATTAATGTTAAGAGAAAAAGGCCCTGCTGACAAGAGAAACTGTATTAATAAGAATTGGTAAGAAGAAAAATACAGGAGTCTCTGCAAATGCTGAGGTCTAGACCAAGCACCTGTAACACAAATGTGTGACAGTTTCCACCCACTCCCTTTTGCTATTTTCATCCCATCTGAATTCCAGCTCTGCCAATTCACTCACATCTGTTCTCAGACTTGGTATCAACACCAATTTAATCACATTCCTTCCATCTACTGATCTAGAAGTGTAGGGAGAAATTAACCCCTTCCCTTCATTAGTGCCAGCTAGCATGCCTCTCTTGCCATGCGTCTGCTGGTGTTCAGCAGAGCCGGTGGGGCTGTGTGAAGGATGTGAATGTCGGAGGTAGACTCGGCTGCAGTGACCATGAAATGGTCGAGTTCAGGATCCTGCGTGGAGGAAGCAGGGCAATAAGCAGGATCAAAACCTTGGACCTCAGGAGGGCTAACTTTGCCCTCTTCAAGGAGCTACTGG